CCAAAGATGCTGGGGAAATGGTTGGTTCATTCTGATTGATTGTTTTTTTTTCTACTGGTTCTCAACCTTTTGCAGGTTATTTATCCAGGATGTATGCGGGGGTGAGGGGGCATAATAATCGTTTAGCGATACAAGTCTTACTAATTAACCCATAGCTGGAGGGAGAATAGATGAATTCACACCTTTTCTAAGAGTGTTTGCGCGTAAGTTAATGTAACGAAACCAACGGGATTGAAAACCCGGCTCTCTAATTAACAATTCCGAGCCGTTATCCATTACACCACCCGCACATCCAAGCTCACAGCCCCTCCTGGTATTCCGAAGGTTCAACGTTGCTTAACTTCAGTGACCCTCCGTGAACCGGTGTTTCAACGTGATGCGGCCGTAAGCCTCTGCTCATTCGGTCGTCCCAGAAAGTAACTGACTCTTGCTCTACCTTTACAAGAGCCAGGTCAGCTCCAAAATGGATTATTGCTGTCTTATCTTGACTGAAGGTGCCCAACCTTCTCTTTTTTCCGCTTTGATGCAGTTCTAAAGCGTCTACGACGCCTTGTAAGTGAATTCTTTTCCACTCTACCACTCCTTTTTACACAGACACAATGTTGCAAGCCTATCTCTGTTCTATTGCTATTTCTATGGAAGATATTCTGACTTGCTGCATTCCCCAGTTTCATCAATTCAGACCTTTACAACTATGACCCATTCTGGTATCTATGTGTTGAAACTTGACTAATGCATGGAATAATAATACAACACAAAATGTACTTAGAACAAAATGTATTGAAACAAGAAAGTGTACACAATATTTACATATAGTCTTTTGTATATTCCTGGTAAGACCGTTCCTGGAGAATGAGTCGCAGTCGGGCAGAGTCTCTGGTTGAATCTCTTGATTCCTCCCTCTCTTCCCGGTACCAACCATATTTATATGGTCGGTACTCCACTATGCAAATTAGGTGGATCCTACCACAACACTATGCGTACCCGAAAAATCTTCATTCTTTTCGAATATCATTGGCAAGAAGGAAGTTCAATTCGGAAAGGTTTTTTTTTCCTAAGAACAGCAGCGATGTGGTACAGTCTCTGGAGAGGGTGATTTCCTGATCATTATGATCTTAACCAGCGTCAAGCGTTATGCATCATATACTTCCTGTTATGGTCCAGGTTAGGACCAAGGAAGAACAACACGAACACAAGAGTAGAATTAACGAAGGTATATTACACGAAATAATAATACAAGATGTGGAAGGTGTTAGTATGACTGTCAGTCTGGTTTGGAGTGAACTACTATCGGCTCGACTCGATTCGATATTTACTCGCAACCCCCCACCACCACCACGAGGGTTGCATATGGCACAAGGCCGAGTTTAACGTGGGTTTTCTGAGCCTGTAGGCTCGGCCAAAAACGCCCGTAGAACCCGTATAAACAGAATCGGGTTGGTCAACATCCCCGAACGAGATTCTCCCCTTCGGCGGAGCCTCGTCCGGGTTGCTCTCTGTTCAGAGGCAGAGAGTTCGACCGTCAACCCGAGATGCTCGGCTCGATTCAATATCTAGCCTCTCCCCACCCCCACGAGGGTTGCATGTGGTACAAGGCCGAGTTTAACGTGGGTTTTCCCGAGCCCGTAGGCTCGGCCAAAAAATGCCCGTAGAACCTGTATAAACGGGATCTGGTTGGTCAACCTCCCCGAACGAGACTTTGTGGTTTAATCCACTAAGATAAATGTAACTTAAATTAAAATAAATCTAAGATAAATTTAACTTACTTTGGCACATTGGAAGCAGGTTGAGAAATAAATGAGTTCTACTAAACGAACAAGAAAGGAGTAGGGCTAAACGAACAATAAATACGTAGTACTAAACGAGCAATGAAGGAGTAATATTAAGCAAGCAATAAAGGAGTAATGCCAAATGAACAATAAAGGAGTAATACTAAATGTGTAATAAAGGAGTAATATTAAACGAGGAATAAAGGAGTAGTAATACATGAGCCATAATGGAGTAGTACTAATTTTTGTACTTCGACAACTGTGTGAAAGCCTGATAGAACACGTCCAAAATTTCCATCTGGTATTCGTGGATCAGGAAAAAGCCTTTGATCGCGTCAACAGAGATAAGCTATGGGAGGTCCTCGATCAGTACGATGTTATGGGGAAGCTGCTAGACAACACCGGAGCCATGTACATTAACAGCAGGAGCATAGTATGCACGGCAAGTGGAACGTCTGACTGGTTAACATCTAAAGTTATGCCAGGCTGCAATGTTCGTGGTCTACATGGACCAGATTACAAAGGAGGCCGATCCAGATCCTGAGGCCCGCAACGAACTCATATTCGCCGGCGATCAGGCATTGATGAACAACGACAGGAACCAGCTGCAGGAACACTCTGACCAACTCAACTGAAGCTGTAAGAAATACGACATGACGATCAGTTTCAGTAAGACCGAGGTCATGAACATCCTCAAGAGACCAGAAAAACTGGACATTAACATCAATGGGACCCAACTAAAACAAACCATTGAATTCAAATACCTGGGTAGCATATTTATTGAAAAGGGCAAACTAGACAGTGAGATCGAGACCAGATGTCAGAAAGCCAACGCAGTCAGTTACCAACTTTCTCCTCTTCTAAAACATCCTAGCATTTCCATGAGCACCAAGACAAATCTCAACAACGCCATTTTCCTACCAACGCTGACATACCAGTGCCAGACATGGCCCCTAACAAAAACCCTTGAGAGGCAACTTGTGAGATGAAATGCCCGAGGAAAGCAGTGAACAAGACCATGCAAGTCAAGATCAGGAATGAGGTAATAAGAGTTAGGGTAGGAGCAATACCAATCATACAACACAGCGAACGACAGACACCTCACTCGAATACACTCTGGCTGGAGAGCGGAAGTAGACCAAGAAGACGCTAGAGCGACTCAGTGGCAGACACTCTCAGAGCCCACGAGATATCTCACCTCCACGCTACTCGCCTTGTCGCTGACAGTGAACTGTGTCTTCCCGCGATGCCTAAGAGCAGAATCGGGCAAAAAACTAAACTAAACGAGCAATAAAGAAGTAATACTAAACGAGGAATAAAGGAGTAGTACAAAATGAGCAATAAGGGAGTATTACTAAATAAACAATAAAGGAGTAATACTAAAGTAGGAATAAAGGAGTAGTACTAAATGAGCAATAAATAAGTATT